CCCTCTTTATGCTTACATCAATAGTACAACTAGACTTGTGTTCTTTAATAACATGTGTTACTTTGTGTATACAAATGTATATATAAGAACCACTGCAATTGTCACCCCAGAACTCTGTTCCTCAATCACATGACTTGGAGGATGAATTAATTAATTGTACAGTTCACAATAAAATATGAAAAACAAATATGGACTTTTGGGTGTGTCAGTCTGTTAGTTAATCTGTTGTTTTGTTCTTACTTCTTTTTTTTTTTTGGGGGGGGGGGTTCTTTTTAAAGTGTTTTACGGCTTTCGCAACTGCATAAAGTCAAATGAGATCAGGGATGTGACTGAAAATCAGCAGTAAGGAGCCAAGGAGTAGAAGTAGAAAGGCTGCAGAAAGAGGGGGGGGGGGGCAAAGGAGGTGAGGGGATGGGGGCAGAAAGTGGAGGCAAAAGCAGAGGGCAGAACATTGCAAGAGAGCAGGAAAGGAGGTGAAAGGAGAAAATTTTAGAGCAGAAAAATGTCGGTCGCTATCTGGATTCGAACCCGGGACCTATTGAAAAGGGGCGAACACTTCGTCCTCTAGGCCACGAGAGTCCCCTGTTATTCTATGATTTCATGATGGCTTTATGAGTATAAAAATGTCTTGGATGAGAAAAGTAAGTAAGTGTATGGGTTTAACACAATTGCCAAAATGATTACGTTATCTAAGATGCAGAACCTCAGCATTTAACGTTTATCTCCGAAAGGACTGGACCAGATGGGCTGAGAGCTTTGAAAACTCCACAAAACGACATGACTTCAAGAACGCCCAGTCAGGGATTCCAACCAGGGCCAACTGTTTCGTCGTCCAGCATGTTAACATCTCTTAACACTTTTCCTACCTCGAGTCGCAAATAGCGGCTCGTGGACGTGGCCTCGCCGGGCCGAGAGCCGCAAAATACGGCTAATGTGGCTCGCTATCTATTCCAATCCAGTAATGAAAGGACACAAAATTCTCAGCCGATCCACGTTTTTGAAATAATAGAACAGACTTCCTGCTAGCGGATATGAAAGAAAATATATATATTTTTAAAAAAAAATTTATTTATTTATTTATTTTTTTAAATATTTTATTTTATTTTATTTATTTATTTATTTATTTATTATTTATTTATTTATTTATTTATTTATTTAAAAAAAAATTTTTTGAGGGGGGGGGGGGGGGTCATTTCAACGCTTTTTTCTGTCCCCTTCGCAATGTGAAAATGAAAAGAAAAGTGATCCCCTGATTTCAGTATATGTCTCATATTTTCACTTCTATAATAGGTGCACGTACATAACTTTCAACATTTTTTTTTTTGCATTGCAGGATGCAACCTACCTGGGAAGTTTGAACGATGCTGTTGTTGTACTTTTTCGGTTATGACCTTTCGAAGATGGAAAATTATTGATTTCATACGACACCTTCGATATTGCATTATCACTTTTAGAAACCCCCAAACTAATGTAATTGGAATAAATCTTCAATAAGATCTGATAGATTATTTTTTAACCTTCAGTTCGATGGGCCATATGATATGGTTTGCGTGTATTTAGTTGGATGTTTTGAAATCTTTCCTTTGGTTGGGTAGGGGCGTAAAAATAGGTCAGGGAAAAGCCTTCGGCCCTTAAACTGGACAGAATGTTGAGTCAACGAAGCTACCGTGTATGGCATGATTTTATCAATCCATCTTTTTCTTTGTAGCTTTAGTAAAGATTTTAGGGCACTTGCAACACAAGTAAGTCATGTAAGTGCCAAAGACTGCGAGAGTTACTACAAGAAGATGTAACTTTCAAATATATAGAAGAAGGGTGTGAGATAAAGACGATAGATGATTGATAAGAAAGAATAGTAACAACACCAGGGCACCCGCCAACTACAAACGAAGTCTCTTAAACGCTTATATTTTTTCTTTTCCTTTTTCTTTTCTTTAAAAAAAAAAGAGAACGTACCTTCGGACTGAAGGCCCATCTCCGATATATAGCCGAGTGGTTGGAGCTACTTGAGAACCCGCAAAACAACGCACATTCAAGAATGGCCAGTGTGGGATTCAAACCCGGTTCATCGGCACTCTAGCTCAGATAATACAAACTGGTGAGGTGAACTTTTAGTGCGCGGTAATTCAGCCAACTACACGCCACTAACACAGCATTGGCTCATTTATTATTATTGTACGTCTTACAGGCGGGACGCCTACTATAATATTTTAAATGTTGCAAGCAATGCGTTTTCGAGTGACGTCTTCGCCCAGATGACAGGCAAGAAAAATGATGCGCGCCCATTTGCCGCTTGCCGAAGACAGGCAAAATCTCGAGTCTGTGGTTTGACGCTACACAGAGCTGACCTAGATCTAGATAGGTCCAAATCTGGGCCATGAAGCCTTCAGATCGAAATTATTGCCTCAATTGTTTTTAGGAACGGCTCATATGTATGGAATCTAATGCAAAACAATTATTCCTAGCAAATATAAAATGAAATTGGGACTAAAAATATGCCCACGTTTCAAAATCATCCGTTTTCTTGAGTGATTCGAGGAGCCGCTGCAGATTCCACGCAAGGCAAATGATCGCGCATGTAAGAGAAACCGTGTTGTACAATAAGCTTTGCGTGATGCAAGCAAAATATCTAATTTGCATACAATGCTTTGCCTGGAGTCGGCAACAGATAACAAGTTGGTGAAAGGCCTAATGGGAGGAACTGTTTAGGAGACACTGAAGTTTAATGCCTTTTAAGTCAACAAAAAAACAACCATCGTGCAGGTTTAAATAATAATAGTATATTATGGTACGCTGACGAAACACCTTTTTCTTATTTACAGCAGTTTCGAGAAATCAACGATTTTCGTTTCTTTTTTTTAAAATATAGACTAATACCTAAACTATTTTGCACAGTACATCAATGGTTGATTTTGCACCCCCGAGAGAATGTCATTCCCTATGCTCAGCAAATATCACAAGAAAACTGAAAATCATTGTATGCTTGAAACTGCTATGAATACGTAAAAGGCGTTTTGTCAGCGTACAGCAGTATAGTGTTATTATATAGCGTTGTTTGAGTCTTTATATTCAAAACAAAACAAAACAAAGTAGGCATTTCGGAAATCAAAGTTTTGGACGTGATTCACGACCCCAAGACAACAAGAAATACAAAGTAATTTTTCTGTTCCCTCCCAATAGTGTCACAGGAGAGCTTGAGTACTGTTTCCACATCCACCCCCCCCCCCTAAAAAAAAATAAAAATAAATAAATAAAATTAAAAAATGAAAATTACACATACACAAACAACCAAACCTCTTCTTTTGCCAAGATTTATATCCCCCTTCTGAGCTCATGAAAAAAAAATAATAGAGAGAAAGACGGTAGGGCACATGTTCCTACACACTGACACATGTAAGCTAAACAGCTCAGCTACAGAATAGCCGTCCAAAACAATAATAAATGAGAGAGAGAGAGAGAGTGTGTGAGAGAGAGAGAGAGAGAGAGAGAGAGAGAGAGAGAGAGAGAGAGAGAGAGAGAGAGAGAGAGAGAGCGAGAGCGAGGAAAGCCTACCAATTTCTTTAACTCATGACTACCTCTCATGAAATCGGATTGAGACAACACCCGACATGTGTACAACAACACACATTTTTGAAGGCAGAGATATCATATGAGCAGCAAACTTGACTCCTCGCGATTTGCACGACGTTAACGAAATCTTATCTCGCCTTGATCAAAGTGTCTTCAGACCCAGAGAGCATTTCAGTCGTGGGACAGACCTTGTTCGTGTGATTACAGCGATACAACCAAGACCAATTCGGTGGGCTTTTTCATGCACCATTTATAAAATATAATCATATTTTTACAGCCATTGACATATTTCCAGTTTTAATTCGAGGTGACTAGATCTAGACAGACGTTCGAGAATGGATCCAGGAGGAAAGAAAAATAATAATTCTGAGAAAAACTCGGGGCGCAAGTCGGAGCAGAAATCTGGAAATAAACCGGACGCTTCTGAGGAGAAATCTTCTTCGTCACCGGGTGAGGAGGCAGCCGGAGCCCAAGTAAGGTAGGTACACATAATATGTATAAAAGTAACTATTGACAAAAAAACCCAACTACAACAACCCCCTTTACCCGCTAGAAAGCCTTTAACTCTCCACCAAAGTGCACAATTCATAGAAAAATTGACAGGAAGTAAACTTAACCATCCGAAAGGAGAAACACTTAACAGGAACAACAGTACCTTGGAAACAGGCATCGCTACTCCGAAGATACAGTTTACTGTTGAACGTAATTTTATAGTTGAAACACATATCGTAACAAAGCCCCCTATGCAGACACGAGATTTCTGCTGTAAACGGGTTGGAATTAACACCAACTGCCGTAAGAAAATACCAAGTAAAGTAACAATACTTTAGGTGGGTGGCTGACTTAAAGTCACATGGCTCTGCTGAAAATAAAAACAAAGAGATAAAAAACCAGGGTAACCCACAGTCAGGTGGGAGACCGAAGCAAGTGTGCACTTCTGCGAATGTGGCAGTGGTTATGGAGTCTGTGAGCGAAGAACATAAAAAAAAGTCAGCTCATCGTCATACTCTCCACGGGAAAAAAGGAGGTTTTTTTGGTTCATCTGGGTATATTATGTATTATATTATTACGGCTATAGAGAATATCGTAGCCTCGTTCTACGGGTGGGGAGGGGGGGTATTCCTGCTACACATATAGCCTAAATTAGAACAAAAATATAAAACCACATAAAAATATAATTGTTAATGCTAATGTATGCTCTTTCTCTATAAATATGTAATTTCGAAAAACTAAAATGTAAATACCCCCAACCCTTCTAAAATCGTTCTCTACCACCAGCCCTCCTCCTCCTCTTCCTCCCCCCCCCCTCTCTCTCTCTTTGTCCAAAGTACATGTATATTCTCACTCACATAAATTTATACATGTATATTTAGATCTATATATATATAAACATTCAGTTTTCTCCATTTTCTTCAGGTTTTGCTTTTCCCAATACAAGATCAATACTACATGTACTACTATGGGCACGTTTTGAAACAGATGAGAGTTGTTTTGCTTTTCTTTTTTTTTTAGCGTGCTACATGGGAAGATTCATTTGGCAAGGATGGGTCCAAAGATGAAGTACCCACATGAGAGCGAGTTTATTATATAGATATTAGGAACTGTGCACACTACGGTGAAAGAATATTACACGCAAGTAGTGGGCTTGACTTCCAGGTCATAATCCTGACTCACTCTGGAGAAAAAAAAAAACAATACGGGGCTGGGGAGGTGTGCTGTATGCTTGTATGTATGTATGTTTAATATATGTAATTGTTTGTGATTTTATGCGGGCGTAAGAGTCTGTGTGTGTGTGTGTGTGTGTGTGTGTGTGTGTGTGTGTGTGTGTGTGTGTGTGTGTGTGTGTGAGAGAGAGAGAGAGAGAGAGAGAGAGAGAGTGAGAGAGAGAGAATGGGAGAGAAAATGAGAGTGAGAGTGTGTTCGTATGTGTGCGTTGGGGGGGGGGGCTGGTAAATGAGAGCCAGTGTTTTTGAGAGAGAGAGAGAGAGAGAGAGAGAGAGAGAGAGAGAGAGAGAGAGAGAGAGAGAGAGAGAGAGAGAGAGAGAGAGACATTATTTGTGTGAGAGAGAAACAAAGAGAATAAATAGAGAATCAGAGAGACAGACAGAGACAGAGACCAAGAGCAGCATGACTCAAAAGTTCGACACAAGAACCCGTGTCTACCTTTTCAGACTCAGCACTGACTGGCTGGACGTGGACCCAGCTTCCCTCGACATCTACCTCCCACAGTACGATGACGACACAATGCCGGAGCTCGAGGACATACAGCTTCAACCCATGGAGGACACAACACAGGGATGTGTCGATGAAATATTACCCCTCGCCGACATCTGTCAACTCCAGCTTAGCCTTTCGCAGAAGAAGCAAAGTGAAGAGCATACGCAAAATACAGAACCGAAAAAAGCGCCGAAACCGAAGCAGGCGGCGAAACCGAAGCAAGCTGCGACAGAACCGAAACAAGCGACGAAACCGAAACAAGCGACGAAACCGAAACAAGCGACGAAACCGAAACAAGCGACGAAACCGAAACAAGCGACGAAACCGAAACAAGGGACGAAACCTAAACAAGCGACGAAACCGAAACAAGCGACGAAACCGAAGCAAGCAACGAAACCGAAGAAAGCGACAGAAACGAAACAGGCCACAGAACGTAGCAAAATGTTACAGCAAAAATCAGACGAAAACAAACAGCCAAGCTCTCACTTGGAAAGGCACCTAAGTCAACACCGCTATCAAACGAGGCTGAAGACGAAGATCTCTGCAAAAAAAAACAGCACCAGAACAAGCACTTCCACAAGGCGCAATAAAAACAACACTAGCTAAGGAAGACAAAGGATGCCAAACACCAGCCTCCAAATGATGGCATCATCATCATCATCATCATCATCATCATCATCATCATCATCATCATCATCATCATCATCATCATCCCCATAATTATCATCATCATCAAAAGACAAAGGATGCCAAACATCATCATCATCATCATCATCATCATCATCATCATCATCATCATCATCATCGTGGTCGTCGTCGTCGGCTTCGATGATGAAGCAGTTAGGTGCTTCGCTGTCGCACGTAGATGTGAGTTCGATTCCCATGTGTGAGTGTGTGTGTGTGTGTGTGTGTGTGTGTGTGTGTGTGTGTGTGTGTGTGTGTGTGTGTGTGTGTGTATAAGTTATAAGTTGTCTGTATTTTGTGTTCCCAGGTGTGTGCGTCTGTGTCTGTTGTATGTTGTATGTAACCTGTTACCTATTGTCTGCTCTCTAGGTTCCCAGCTGTGCGTGTGGGTCGCGGGTCTCCGATGATATGTTCCTGCCCTTACTCATCTACTTCAAGTTAATTAAAATTTATACATATCTGTATACTATGCAAAGACTCTTCAAACTAAGACAGCACCCTTGGCAAGCTACATTATATTGGAACTAAATTTGAACCCTTCAACTTCAGTAAAGGGGGTGGAGTGGGATAAGAATTACTGTTTTCGTTGAAAAGAATAATCTAAAACTAGCCAATCATTTCCGTTCTTTCTCCTAACTTTCTCTAACTATTTTGTTTTGAGACTTTGCAGTTACTCTCACTCTTTCTCT